AAAAAGGACATTCCAGGATTCGATCCCACGCCCGTTCACTCCGCACGCAGTCACGCTATCCATTCGGCCACCTCAGCTCCGTACTGGAATAGGTAGATTAGGCTTCATATATTTATAGCAGTTTCAGAAGTTTCCAAACTGCTAAAACTGGAATCATAGGCCCAACACAATATTTACCACTAGCCTACCGCAGCCAATCAGCTTCTGGCTGACGGGGCTGCAGCTAGCCGCAAGTTAGTACTATCATTGGTTTATGGCTCTTTCGATTCTCAGAACCACGGAAGTTGAGGGAATTAGAGGTTACTAAGCCAAGGAGTACAGATTGTTGTCGAAAGCAGCCTTTCGGAAAGGTAAACATGTTTTAAACGTAGATATATCTAGGCCTACAGAAGGTTGATGCTTTACAATTTTACCCTGTATATAATACTTTTTACTTTTACTTGTTACTTTTTCATCCTCTGTTGCCGTCCGTTAAGTGTCGAGGGGAGTTGCTGTTTTCTATGGTAAGGCCAGCTCCGCAGCTCTTCAGTTGTGATAATATGTTTTCTCAGAGTTTCCTTGACACCCCCAATCAACCTTCATTTCTTATTCGAATCTATCCTCCTAACTCCTGTCACTTTCTTCAACTTGGACTTTCAACTGTGACATGTTTGTCAGTGTCAGCTTATATAGATTAAATTTGAACTGGACTTATCTAGCTTCTCAGGAAGCTGATAATGTTTTTGAGTGCTCTAGAATATCTAGATCTAGATCTAGATTATATATCTATATCTAGATCTATGGTCTGCTGGGGGAATAAAATAGTGTTTAAAGCGCTTAAGAGCTTGCTGTAGACTGTAAAGTGGGGTAATGCACTAGCCTATACTACGAATGCTATTTTTATTATTAGGCCTAGTTCTTGAATCCGATTTCGCTATGAGTATCCACAAAATTGGAATACCACATTGCCATTATATTATGTTGAATATTCAGTTAAATGCCGACCTAACCTCTATTTTAACATTTAGACAAGCATCGGTATTTTTAGTCGTTAGGTCTTGCTCAGACCTGCATCTAGATCTTCCACGTTCTAGTTCTAGAGACTATCATATTATGTGAGGCATATTGGTGAAATGAGGCGCTCATCAAATTAATAGTGAAATCTGCCCATTCAGCAATTTTTATCGATTTTTATGTTTTTTGGCTCAACATGTGTTCTTTTCTAGATCTATGTATGTAAAAACATATTCTGTGTGGATTTTACTGAAAACTAAAGGCACAAAAAATCTAAATCTATAGATCTAGTTCCCAAGGACTTAAAAGCTTTGGAAGTTACAAAATTGCCACTTTCTCGCTAATTTAAATACCTCTGGAACCAGGTAACACCCTCCCCCTCCAATTGCAAATTATCGATTCTGTTCAAGATAAATGGGTATTTTTTTTCATTGAAAGCTAGACGTATATGAACAAAGTTTTAGATAAAAACAAATACTCCTCATGCCCAAAAATTGACGAGGGCCTGATTCCACTGCGTCATGACGCATTAGAGTATGGCTAGGTAACCGATCTCTAAAATTAGATTTTAAAAAGTCTAGATAAGATCAAGTTTTTCAAACCAATGAGGAGATTAATCTCCTCTGCTATAATTTTGGTCTCTGGTTTCTGTACGCACTGTCCTCATGCAGTGAACAGTGAATCATATGTAGTAGTAGGGCCTATAACTTGGACAGGTCGTAAACAGAAGACTCGAAATCAAGCATCCGTCGAAATGTGCCTGCGGTTCTGTTTTTTTTTGCTTGCAAGATTTTTTTTCTTCTTTATCTTTGTAAGATATCCCTCAAACTACCGAGGCCGGTCCCAACGAATTCGAGCTATCTGTGTTATACTGTATATATATATATATATATAGTGAATGTGCTACAACAACTTTTCTTCTCCACATGCACTTGTCCTCTTTTCATTATTTTGATTTTATTGTACTTGTATTGTCAGACTTAGGTGAGTGGGTGGTTGGCGGGTGCTTTGGTGTGGTTTGTTTCTACTTTCCTATCAAACATCTATCGTCTTTATCTCCCCTCCTTCTTTTTTGTGTTTGTTACTCCCTTGTAACACCTGTAATCTTTGGCACTTATATGACCTAATTGTGTTGCAAGTGCTGTAAAACTCTTCACGAAAAAAATATAAATTTAGTGCATCTTAGAATAGAGTTAATTCCTCAGATTCTCGGTTTTCCTTTTGATCTTTGTACTCCACCATTACATATATATTATTTTTCATTGCTGTCCAAATTATTTGTTTTGTTTTTGTAAAGTGTTTTACGGCGCTCGCAACTGCATAGGTCATATGAGCGCGCGGGACACACCTAATATTTTTTTTTGTTAGTAGGAAATTTTGAATTTTGCCCGGGTGGCGGCCGAAGCCTACTCTTATCGATTTTAGACCACCAAGGGATCTTTAACGTGCGCAACTTGCACACGGGCCCTCCGAGATTTTTCGCCCTTGTCCGAGAAGGCGAGGTGTAGATCTTTCCTACCAGAAGATCAGGGGTGTGGCAGAAAGACAGCAGTAAGGAGGAGCCAAGGAGTAGCAGTAGAAAGGCTGCAGAAAGAGTCAGGAGCCCAGAGGAGGGTGCAAAGGAGGTGAGGGGGTGGGGGCAGAAAGTGGAAATGAAAGCAGACAACAGAACATTGCTAGAGAGCAAGAAAGGAGGTGAAAGGAGACAATTTTAGAGAAGAAAATTTTTCGGTCACTACCCAGATTCGAACCCGGGACCTTTGAATGAGAGGCCAACACCTTAACCTCTAGGCCACGAGAGCCCCCTGTCCAAATTATACAGTCAAACCCCGGTGTACTTACCTTGGGACGAGCGGGCTGGCGGTTTAACGAGGTTTTCATGTTTTCTGTTAAAAATACATGTAGCAACGACTGCTTAACGTCAGGGGAACTTGTTTACCAATGACTAGATGAATTAATGAGTTATCTCCCTTCGATCTGTCACTCAGTCTTGAGCGTGAGTCCTCACAAAATTTTTTTAAAGCTCCATAGACATTCGCCAACCTGTAAGCTATTGGGCTAATATCTGGCAGCGCCATATATTATGCCAGGGGGCGGGGCTGAGATGCCGAGGTTCCATTCAAGTTTCTCTAGGCTGCCTAAACTTAAAAATTTAATTCAATTTTTTTTAAATACATTGACCTAACCCTAGAATCATAGCATTTTCATGATCATAGCATCAAATTTAGTCTGATTCACACATGGGAGTGAAATTTGATCCTGAATTACAGTTGTGTTTTATTTTAATTGTACTCTTCTGCACTACACAGTGTTCACTTGCGACTCTCCACATCACTGTAGATCAATCTGTAGCCTATTGCCTGAAATCTGCAAGGTAAGAGGGGGGAGGGGGGAAAGGGAGCATATCTGTGAAAAGCGTTTGATCTAGACTTAGGCCTAGCTTGTATAGACTTTTGTGTGTAAAAGAGTGTCAAACAACCACCGAGTGGATGTGCCGTGCGCCGTGTATAGCCTGATGTGTAGGCCTACTGTGTATTTCTGGCGGCCATTTCGCTGGCGGTACTACGGGGTAAATTTCCAGTAGTTTTATAAGGACCGTACAACTAGATAGTTGGCGGGTGGCAGTGTATAGGCGTAAATACTTTGTTTACATAGGGAATCTTTTCGTACATTTACAAAACCTGGCGGTACAACTGGGGGTGGTACAACGAGGTTTGACTGTATATATACAAGCTTATAGCATCACGTTGATTTCCAAATTGTCTCATGTTTTTATGAAAAAATTTTTTACCTGAAGAATGCAACTTCGTGCCGGTGTAATTCAAAGTCTACTACACTGTCAGTCTACCAAAAGTCCTGCCTTTTAGACCATGGCCTACTGCTGTCTATGGGTCTAGTAAAGTGAAGCATAAGTCCCTCCTGATTGGCCACGATTATGACAGTGCTAGGGGCATTTAGATGATCAAAGACAGTGATGTTGACCACTGTCGTACGTGGGTTGATGGATTGCTTCATTTTGCATGCTATGTTGTTTAGATCAAAGAATTGTGGAATGGTAAAGAAAAATATGTGAGGTATCGTGGTGAAATCAGGGGCTTGTCAAAATAATGAAATCGAAAAAAGTGGCATTTTTCTGTCGGTTTGGCAATTTTTATCGAATTTTTGTTTTTTGACTCAACACCTATAAGGTCCGTTTAAAAATACGTTTCTAGGTGGGTTTTACTGAAAAATATTGATTCAATGCACAAAAATGTAAATTTGCAGTGTCTAAGGACTCTCAAGCTTTGGCAGCTATTTTATGGCTAATTTTACCTCTGAAACCAGGCGACCCCCCCCCCACCTCCTTCAATCGCAAATATCTCGACTTCATATCATGATATATCAGTGGTTTTTTAAATGGAAAGCAAGACAAATGAACAAGCTTTAAAATGATATCAATAACTCCACATGTCCAAAACTGACGAGCGCCTGATTCCACCGTGTTGCTACAAATGTGATCTTGACTGACAAATGTTACCACAGCAAGTGACCAGTCAGGACTATTTTTAAGAAATCAAGTGGGGGAGGGCGATCAGGGCCCCCCACCCCGAAATACAACCACCAAAACATATTTATATAATGGCCAATGACAGTCCCAAGCCTGCATTATAAACTCAAAAACCAGAAACAACTGGGCACCTTCAACTAAACCGGCTCCGTAAATCTTTTTGTGTGGTTCTCATTCGAGAAGGGAATTTTTTGGAGCAATTTTCAGCAAATGGTAGGCCGACTGAGTTCTCCAATTAATGTTCATTTGTACATGAAGCACATCAATCTGTTTATTTGTGTGGTGACTGATTTTTAGTACTTTCGAAGATTGTGATACATATATAATCTTTTCTTTGTTTTTCTCTTGTTTTCAGAAGATCTCAAAACCATGGCTGGTGCTGTTGTTGTAAGTGGCTGGATAAAGGTTCCATATGCTGGCTCCGATGATAATGTTGGGAGTGAAGACAGTGATGATGATGATGATCCTGAGGAAATGGTCTTGGACTACCATCAGATGGATCAAGACCGGACTTTTACCCATTCAAGAACTCCAAAAGAAATAAGATGTACTAAGATTTTACTTTTACACCTGCACACAGATACATTGCTCTTGTGGGCAAAACCACCTTATTTTTGCTCCAGAACACCTTTGGCTGCTAAAACTGTCACATCATATCTATTATTTTCAAGAAAATCTCAAACCAAACTACTCTGCAAAACATCATAATATGGTGAAACTCAAAGTAAAATGCTACTACACAATTGTAATAAAGTTTGTATAAAAACATCATTGTGTCTCAAAAACTAGTAATTTGCTATGGATATAATGTTCACAATTATTGTGGGGGGTGGGCTATACCTGAAAGTTCCAATTTAGGTCAAAATTGTGGATTTTGAGATGTAGGCATTTTTGGCTTCTTCAGCCTCTCTTACAACTATTTTATCTCATAAGAACCCTGTAAAGCCTTATTATGTCACATATCAGACATGTTAGTCACCACATTCTAATAAAGTCTCTCTTTTTTTTTGTTTATCGTCTTTTTTCTCAAAACCGGGTTTTTGTGTATACTTTTTATTAATTACTCCACCATTTTTCATCCAATCTTCATGAAAGTTTTACAGAATGAAGAGAAGATGTAACAGTATAAATTAATGGTCTTTTGAATTTTTTTGGTGGTGTCTGGAGTGTGGATTTTCACTGATTTTTTTTTCAGCTTTGAATACTACGTCAAGAAAAGATTCATTAAAAATTGCCTAATTTGTTAACGAAAAACTCAACAGATTATTTTGTAGCAGTGTTCTGTGCTAACACGCATGCAGAATAACATATTGCCATTGAAAGTAAGTGAGGTATGATATTAACTGTCTAAGACTTGACAACAAAATCCAATAAAGCTGTCTCAATGGCAACGGAACTTTTTTTTCTAAAATTTGATTACTGATTTGAAGGTTCCTCACTGTGCTTCTTTTATATGTGAAATTTGATAAAATCTGATCCACAAATAAGTGAGAAAGTCCTCAGGTGTAGCGTGCGCCCCCAGTCTCACATACTTTAATTATGTCAACTAGTAACCCTTGAAGCCTTTGAATTCAAGCAGTCACAACTCGAGTTTACAGGCTGTCATAAATAAGTCAAAATATTTAATTTACTGTTACATTCATTGCCATATTAAACGTTACATATTTTTTGTTTCAGTGGTGATTGAAAGCTGGGATAAAAAGCATCATAAATGCCGTGGAAGGTTTCCCTTAACTCAGATTTACTGGACTGTGAAAGCGAAGATGTCCAAGGGCTGGCTGCGGTCAGCTCCAGTGTACTCCATCCGTACTTCTGGCGTTGTTTCTAAAAACAACATGGTCATGCTTTTCCTAGATGACTGCTTGAAGAAGGCTTCTAAGGACATCAGGAACGGAACAAAGGCTTGCTTTGATGCTTTTTGTAGGTAAGCTCAAAATAAAGACTGTAAACTCTCCTAGAAATTTTGTTCAAGAAGTTGACTCAGAGTGTATGATAAATACAGTTAATGAGGTATATCTTCTTAGGGTGCTACATCTTACGCATTATCCTATATGGCACTGAGACCTGGACTTTGACTTTGACAAAGAAAGAAGAAAACAATACGTTTGAGATGTGGTGCTAGTGTAGAATGGCCAGAATAAGTTGGAAAACAAAAAAGACAAGCAATGAGGTGTGTCAGATTCTACACACAAGACAAATCCTGCTAAATAAAATAAAATATAGAAAAATACAATACTTTGGCCACTTAATATGGCACGATACCATTGTGAAAGAGGTGCTTGAAGGAAAGATGTGGGGCAGGAGAGCTAGGGGAAGACAGAATAACGTGGGTGGACAACATAAGAACATGGACAGGCCTGGATATGGCAGAATGTGCAACGGCAGCTCGCGGCCGTGAAGGATGGAGGGTCATTACACGTCAACTTCTGAGTCAGAGATGGCACCTCCAGGTGATCTATCTCGACTGGGATAACATTGGGAGAAGAAGAAAGACTACTTTATTCATCCCTTTTTCGTGCACAGTGACTTGTAGATGATAGAAAATTATGACTGTCGCACTAAGGAAAAAAACTAAGTAGTAAATTCCCATCCATAATGGACCTTTACGGGTTGCCACAGTGCAGCGCTCTGCTCTTGAGTTTTGCTTAATTTTGTTGGCTTAAAAAAACAAGCCACTTACTGCTTACCTTATAGGTGTTGTCACTCTGCTTTGCTTAACATTTTCAAATGACCAAGTCCACTTTCCATTTTGTGAAAGATTTGAGTTATTATTGAAATAATAACATATTTGCTCTTTCAATGTATGTATAGTATAGTATGGTTTCTTTAACTCAAAGTTCTTGTTCCCATGAAAGGATTTCAGATCCCTGTTTTTTCTACCCCTCTCTATTCTATGCATTGCACCCTCTTTTGACATGAAATCAGCGTCACATGAAGAATTTCTCTGGTCATGTCAAGTTTGTGTTATCCGTTTTATTCTGTATTTTGATTCATTCAGAAGCATTGAGCTAAAGAGTAAAGTCGGACTGCGCCACTGTTAGGTCCCATTTCTTGTCTATCCCCCTCTTGATTCTGTGTGTCTGTCTTGAAGTCTTACTTTTTCCAAGGGTGGTTGGACAGCACCACTAGTAGGTCCTATTACTTTTCTTTCCCTCTGTCTTTCCTGTCTTTCTGTCTTTCTTCTTCTCAGCACTATGTGATCATTATTGGATCAATGTGCTTCGCTTGACTCAAATGTACAAAGCGGCTGGTTGGATTCCAGTAATGGAATACATTATTGTATTTAATAATCTAGTGCTCTAAAAAGTATATTTTTTTGCTTTGCAGTCACACTCAGCCTCATGGGAAGCAGGATGTTAAGGACTTGGAAAGAAAACTCAAGCAGTACTTAACAGCAGAAAAAGAGAGGTGCTGCTTGGTCCATGCGCAATCCTCAGCATCTGGGAAGTGGCAGCCTCAGGATCATGGTGTCCACATTGAGAAATATGTTTTCAAAAGTGGTAAATGCCAGCGTCGTCTTCACTTGATTTGAAAAACTTGAATACGCTTTAAATACTTGTAGGCTTGAAAGATAAGATAAGATAAGATAAGGTAATACCTTATTGTCCCAGACAGAAATTTTTCCTGGCTGTACTGTACAGGACCATAAAAACACATGCAGGTATATATGGAAATTAAATTATGTGTTACTCTCATTGAAATTCAATATGAGAGGAAAGTAAAGGTTGCACTCACTCACCTTCATTCTGTAGTTTCAGAATAGGGTGTTACCCATCATAAGCTGAATTTGCATCTACAGTAGGAAATAAAATACACTTTTGTTATTTTTTTTCTTATGGAAATTTGGTTGACTGCGATCATGACATACATGTTTATTCAAAGGTTATGATGACACACGTTATCGATCCTGTGTTGTTGTTGTTGTTATCATCGATCCAGAAAAGTCAGAATATAAACCACAGTGTGTGTAAAGCGCTCAATGCCATTGCCTTTTAGTCATGGTTTAGGGCTATATAAATTTGATATATTTGGTCATTTTGGTGGGCAGTGGGAATCACCCTGTAGAAACATGTTAGTTTATGCCCTGCTTGGAAATACACATAGGTGATCAGTATGAAAATTTTAGCTTCTTAAAGGTGGCGAAAGTGGGGGCTGGCTGATAAAAGGTTGACAAAGCTCTGGTATAGATGTTCATTAGTCCTATATGAATACTTGTGTTTGCTATTGATCTTTTCAGAGCTTGGTGCTACTGTCCTGAAGGCCGTGAGCCACCCACAGTTGGTGGCCAGTCTGTGTGAACTCCTTCCCAATGCTTTCCAGTCTGTGCTCCTCAAGTTAAAGAGCAGCTGTTTGGATCTAGCTCAAGATATGGCGTTGAATACTCCGTGGGAATTTGGATTTAGAGAGGTAGAATTGTAAGGTTTTTCCTGTGCACATCTATTAAACTCTTTATCTCCAGAGGGGATTTCACACTATGCTGAACCCCCACCAGAGCAGTGCTACTGACTGAAGTTGTCTTTAGGCCATTCCCGAAGGGAGGATATTAACTTGTTCTTAGGCACACTAAAATTGTAAATGGGCTGATTTATCAATGTCATGCTGTGGTTTGAGGAACAAGAAGACAGAACTCCTCAAAGTCCTGAAGGACAGGCAGATTCATGTTGCCCTCCTTCAAGAAACCCTACACAAAGGTACGGACCTGAATCTCACAGGATACACCAGTTACGCCTGCACATGCACAGGATGCCGCGGTGTAGTCACTTACCTGCGGAACGATGTTCAGGGAGATGTCGTACACTTGTCGTCTGCCCAACCATCTGATACCCAGAAGGCTACCATATGGCACATTGGTAGGAAGTTTACAATTTACAATGTTTACAGCCCTCCACAGACAACATGTGACTTGTCTGATCTACAAGCAACTAACTACGGAAAAACCATTTGTGCGGGTGACTTCAATGGCCACTCCCCTGAATGGGGCTACACCAGCTACAACAGCACAGGCCGAAAGATCGAAGAGCTTTGTGGGACCAGCAACCTCTCTGTGTTGCAAAATGGTAACTCCACTCCTACCGTACGTCACAGAGCCCACTTGACTCTCAGCCGGCCTGATCTCACCATCTGCTCATCTGACATCAAACACGCCTGTCGCACCGAAGTGATTGATGACATAGGAAGTGACCACAGACCTATCTTTACACAGATCACCTCCCCACCTGCTTTGAACCACCCTCGGAGAACTTGATGGAACTTTAAGAAAGCCAACTGGGCAGAATACAAAAAGACCTCAGAAAAATTGCTCTCTAACATAGTAGAAACAGATGATGCTGATCTTTTTAATGAACAAGTCACTGAAAATATTCTTAAAGCTGCATCGCTGCACTTTCCTCGGGGATGCCGAAGAAATTACAAACCCTTTTGGAATGAAGAAATCCAGACTGCCGTAGCAGAAAGAGAGAAGGCCAGACAGTTACTGGAAAACTCACCATCACCAATAGCCAGAACACACTATAACAAGACCTGCGCTCAGGTGAAAATGACAGTTAAAAAAGCCAAAAATGAAAAATGGACCCAGACTTGTGAAGATCTTGACCTTGGCCACAATGGAACAAAGGCTGGGTCCCTTGTCAGCAACCTCTCGGGAGAATATTTCCTTTCAGGCAACACCATGGCAGAAGACCAGAAGAAAGCTGAACATTTTAACCGGTATTTCGCCTCTGTAAACAGAGCAAGTAGATTAACTGAGGCCGATAGACCCCTCATAAACAAGGCTATGCATGAAGAAAAAGCCCCTACCGTGAACAACACCCTTTTTGAGGAGGGTTTCAGCATGATGGAACTTGGACAGGCCCTCAAAAAATTAAAGCAAAAGAAAGCCCCAGGACCAGACAAAATACCCAACGAAATGCTGTGCAACCTTGGTGATAAAGGAAAAGATGTCATATGCCGCTTAGTAAATACCACGTGGAGAACGAGCGGAATACCAAAGGCATGGAGGATCCCCAGATCATACCGCTCCTAAAGAAGGCGAAACCACCTGGAGAAGCGAAGAGCAACAGACCTATATCACTAACATCATGTATCGGTAAGCTTGTCAAAAGAATGGTGAACAACCGCCTTTACTGGTACCTGGAAAACTCCAACAGCTTGAACCCACACCAAGCAGGCTTTAGAAAAGGCAGCAACA